CATATGGTAATTTTATTTTTTATTTTTTGAGAAACTATCATAATGTCTTCTACAGAGGCCAAACCATTTTACATTTCTACCAACAGGGCACAAAAGCTTATTTTCTTCCCATCTTTCTCAACATTGTTATTTTCTGGTTTTGCTTTTGGCCTTTTGTTTTGTTTGTTTCTTCAGGGATGGGGAACAAACCCAGGGGCCTTGCAGGTAGCAGGCAAGAGCTCCACCACTGAGCTCCAGCCTTATGGGCATGAGGTGATACCTCATTACAGCTTTGAGTTACATTTCCCAAATGATTCATATTTTTGACCATCTTATGCCATTTTTGGGGGGATGTCATCCTTGCACAGGAGCCATGCTAATCTTCTCTGTATCGTTCCAATTTTAGTATATGTGCTGCCGAAGTAAGCACCTTATGCTATATTTATTGGCCATTTGTATACCTTCCTTGAGATGATATTTGACTTTTGAAGGATAAATAGAACTTCTACAGGGAGGAATTGGAAGGAAATATGAAGGAGAAGGTATAAAGTAACAGAGCCCCAAAGGCATGAAAAAGTGTATTACCAGATCAGAGCATACAACGAGGAGAACAGCTGGAAGTTAGACCCTGAAGGCTTTTGTGTATTGTTGGCATGGGTGAGGGTTATGTCTCTTATCATCCAGCATCCATTTATCACTCCTAAGAGAGCCCTACAGATTGAGCACTTAGAGTAAGCCAGACCTGGCTGAGAATGCTAAAATTCGCCTAGAACTGGGAAAATGAGACATTTCACTTTGAAGCAGGACATGCACACACACAGAGAGAGAGAGAGAGAGAGAGAGAGAGAGAGAGAGAGAGAGAGAGAGAGAGACAGACAGACAGACAGACAGACAGACAGAGACAGAGAGACACATAGAGAAACATTTATTACATCTTTATAACTCATCAAAATCTCTCTAATCCATTCCCTTTTGCTTGTTAGCTATAATTAGTTTTTATTGTTTGCAATCAGAAAATTTGATATGAAGATAGAAGGAACTACAGAATGAGATGGAATTCCTTGCACACATACATTAATTTCTTTTCTTCCTGATTCCTATTACTTTGAAGACACAAAATTTAACTGTCTCAGGTGGGGCTGTGAGAGTTATTAATCATCTGAAGCTTTACCAATTGCTATGCCTGGCTAGTGACTGAGAAAGAATGTGAAAGCCCTTTTTTTAGGGATTTTAGACAACAGAAGGAGATCTAAAAAAATTACTGTAGGGATGGATCCAGGATAGTTCCATCAAATCACAAAGAATGAAGTATGTAGAGTATCATGAGAAAGTAAAAGTGTTGAGCCATCTGATAATACCCAGGCAGACAGGCTCACTTGTCAAAAAGATTTCGGTAAACCTACTATATTCGGTAAATCATATATATAT